GTATTCCAACTGCAGTCTGACCAGTGCCCAATAGAGGGGAAGTATCACCTCCTTGGTTCTGTTTCTCATGCATCTGCTGATGCACGATAAAGTGCAGTTAGCTTTGCTGATGACTTCGTCACACTGACAACTCATGTTCATCTTGGATGTCCACTAGGACTCTGAGATCCCTTTCCACTTCCATGCTCCTGAGCAGGTCATTTCCTAGGCAGTAGGTGTGCTGGACATTTTTCCTCCCTAGGTGCAGCACTTTGCATTTCTCCTTGTTAAATCACATTCTATTGATTTCTGCCCATTAGTCCAACCTGTCCAGGTCTGCCTGTAGTTGTTACCTGCCCTCCGGTGTGTCCACTTCTCCCCACAGTTTTGTATCATCCGCAAACTTAGACAGAGTACACTTCACTCCCTCATCCAAGTCACTGATGAAGACATTGAAGAGTATCGGTCCAAGGACCGAGTCTTGCAGGACCCCATTGCCCACATCCTTCCAGGTCGATACCAACCTGGAATACTTCTCCCATGCTTATTCTGTGTACATTTCCTAGTCATGTTTACCTTTCTGTATGCGGAGTTCCATGAAGCCATGAGCCACATGCTGGGTGTGTGGTTTGCCATGTTGCTTTTTAAACTCTATCACATAGCAGCAGTAATTTCCACTATCATGCAGTGTCAGGTTCATCATGATGATATGAAATGTCCCATGATGGTCTGAGGTGCTTGCCAGCCCATGGTGGTATGCTTGTTCCCCATGAAGATACTTTCCAGTGATGTTGCTTGATGGTCCATGGTGATTCCCTGATTCTTCATGCAGCTCTCTTTCAGTGATGTTGCGAATATGTTTTTTCTCAGAGCAGTTTTGGTCCCCACTGCTGCTGAAAAACCACGTTTTGTGAAGTAGGTCATTCTGGTCAGAGAGTGGCCCAGAGATCCTGCACGTCAAGGTGACATTCTGTCCTTCGGGGCAGATGTAGAGTGAGTAAGGAGCGGTGATCATGAAAGCCATCACTTGTTCTGTATAAGGAAAAGAAAACATCAGGAATTAACATGTAAGACAAGATGAAGGATAATGACACTTTGCACTTCTCTGAAAGGAAGATCTAATTCAATAAGCACCAGGACTGCCCAGTGAGATAGATGAATATTGCTTTACACATATTTTAAACTGAAACATGGATGGATTAGTTAAGCAAACTGTACAGGCTCATACACTGTGCAGCTGGGTTTTTTGAGGGATTGCAATCCCAGGAGTCCTTCTTCTCAGTGATCTTGCCAGTTATTCATACCTCCTCGATTAGGTGAACACATAGTACAGGGCATTTCTGCTGTTTCAGATCATCTTTTCCTTAAAGATTAAGCCTGACATCTTACCCTGTCTCATTGTACTGTAATCTCTTGATCTCAGAATGATCTTTGTACACTATAAACTCCTCTAGTCTGTGCCATTACTATTACTCTTAGATGCAAACTGTTTCAGAATTATTTTTTTAAGGCTCAAAAAAGAGGTTTCACTAACAGGAGCTAAAATATAAGGCATCTCCAGTGCTGGATAACTATAATCTCTCAGCTGTCTGATCTGTACTTTTCCTTTGTACCGGTATTGGTTACTTCACACTTTCTTTTGTAGTATAAAATGAGATAAGAAGCATTGCAAGACATGTTTGCATAGACAACTTTTAATCAATCAGTGTCAAATACAGTGTAAAGCTGTGAGTCAGAGAGAGCAGAAAACAGTGAACTTGGTTCACAGGAGTGACAAAATCCATTCAATCCTGAAAGAAATGTCGCTAGGTATTCTGGTGCGAAGTCAGTAATACTAAACAAAGTATTTCATACATTTCAAAAACATGTTTAAAAAGCTGGCCAGCAGGGGCCACCAGCTCAATGAAGAAAGGCATTTCAGTCTGGGAGTTCAGAGTGCCTCCTCCTATGCTGTGTCAGTGGGGGGGCCAGCCTTTTGCAGGCATGCCACAAATTATTCCCCCGCTCTCCAAGTACCACTCTGTTCTCCTTCCTCTGCCCAATCTACTGCATTGCTTTCTGCTTCCAACTCTGTGCTCCTTGTCTGAACTTCTCCTTTGCTTTCTGTTTCCTGCCTTATATGTTGCTGTGCTGCCCTCAGGGGCAGATCTTGAGGGGGTGCAGTGGCATGGCTGCACCCCCCTTTTGGACTACCATATCATGGTAGCCCCTGGGGACTTTTTTTAAGTCCCCAAAATACATAAGAATCCCCTCTTCCCCTCCATGCTCAAAGGCATGCCTCCCCCCCATTCTCCTTCCCCACCCCTGCCACCTGCTGCCTCCCCTTTCCTTCCCCACACCTGCCAGGCTGCATGGGGACTAGACTCAGCTGAGAACAGCAGGAACAGCATTGATGGGTGGAGGGTACATTCCCACACCCCGGCTACCCGCTGGGAGCAGGCATGGAACCCCTCACACATTGCCGCTGCCACTGTTCCCTGCTGAGCCCAGCCTCTGCACAAAGGTTTCAAAGGCTTTGAAGTTCTCCCTTCCTCCAAGACAGGGGAGCAGGAAAGGGGAGAGGAAGAAGCATGTCTTTAAGCACAGACTGTAAGGAAGAGGGCATTCTTAAATGCTTTGGGAACTTGTAAAAAGTCCTCAGAGGCTCTGGTGGCACTGTCTGCCCACACTGGTGCTTGCGGGGAGGAGGCTGGGAAGAGGGGATACAGCTGCTCCTACAGTGCAGATGGCTGCACCCTGCTTTGCCAAATCATGGATCCACCCCTGGCTGCCTGTCCCCTCCTTGATATGCTGCATGCCATGCACAGAAGCTGCCTGTGGCACTCATACCACAGGTCGGCCATCCCTGCTCTGTTGGGCTGCTACCAGCCTTAGAAAGTAAAAGAGCATAAGCAAAATCTGAATTCAGATCTACTGCATGGCCGTGCAGTGCTTTCAAAGGGAATGTGGTTTAAATCCAAAGCTCTTTTGTTTCAGTACCTCCTACTTTGCAGGACTCACAATATTAACATGGTTTTCTTTAGTAGGTCGCAGGGAGCAAGAGGATGAGAACCTAGTTAAGTCTCAGGGTTCAGTCCTACTTCTTCCACAGTGAAGTCAGTGACTAACTCCCATTCTTTTTAGGGGCAACAGGTTTAGGTATTAAAACTTCCTTGGTTTTATATAACTGTGTATGGGAAAAGTTAAAAGCACAACTTAGCCTTAGGAAAAAGATGTCTTTCCAGCTGGCAGAAAGCTTAGTGTGCTGGAAGTGTAACAAATGTACAGTTTTAATTGTGCCAAGGAGCTTGCCCTACCTAATCCTGGATGTCAGCTATTATTTGGGCCAGTCACACAGTGGATATAGGGGAAGCAGTTACAACAGAAGTGGGCAAAATAAGGCCTATGGGCCAGATCCGGTCTGCCAGGCAATTTCATCCAGCCCACAGGTACAATTAATTGCATCCGGCCCAGCCTGTAGCTGTCCCTGCTGTGCTCTGCATGGGGCCAAGCCCGCCCCCCCACACACACCCCCTCAGAAACCCCCCATACCCTCCCACACCTAACACTCCCCCACAAACCCCACACCCTCCCTCACACCCATAACCACACTCTCCCCCACACCCTACCCAGACACTCCCCCACAAACCCCATATCCACCCACACCTACACACCCCCTCTCATACACACCCCATGCCCCCACCCACTCACACCTCCTCACAAACCCCAGACACAGGCATACCCCACCACAAACACCCACCCCCAACCACACACAATATACAAGAGTAAGACTTTATTTTGAGCTATTATGTAATCGCCTCTAGATATACGACACAACCACGTTAATCAGGACAAAATATTCTTTGAAATAAAATTAAAATATGTTATAGTAGATGTTTGATTTTTACTATATGGGTTTTTTCCCCCAGTTCTAAGATGGCAACCCCCGCCCCTCCCAAAAGGAGTACTTCTGGGGGCAATGGGAAGGACTTCCAGTAGCAAAGGTCAGGGACTAGGGGGTGAGACTTCTGGGCCAGGGAGAGAGGGCATATGTCAAGGGGTGGGGCTACCCTTGCAGCCCTTGATAGCTCACCAAAGCTCATTAAGCGGCCGGCCCTCCAGCCAAAATAATTGCTCACCCCTGACTTACAGGATGCATTAGCACTGCAAATTTTACAGGGAGAGATCAAAGGGGAGCAATAGCTTTATCTGTGTGGGGGAGGCTGACAGGAGTCAGAGTATGGCTCTCAAATGAGGAAATTAAAAAGTATCTGTCAGTTGCACACTCTGATCCTAGTGTTATATCCAGCTTTTACTTCTCCACAGTCTAGGCTCTGCTAATGCCTGATAAAAAGAAATAGCAATGTGTTATGGCCTGCAGAGATCAGGCTGGCTTTTGACCACGCCCTGTTTTTGCAAGCCTGTATTTTTCATTTTCTCTGAGGAGGAGGGAGGGTGGAGCCTGCTGATGCTTGGATGCCTTAACTTGTTGGCCTCTGCAGAGTTAAGAAATCATTCCCTGTAACTTACTACCAATGGCACATCTGAAATGGCTGGAAAACTACAGGGCAGCTACTGGTAAATGGACACATCTGTGAGGTGCTAAGGTTGAAATGGTGAGGTAGGACATCCTAGGTTAGTGGTGCAGTGTGTGGAGGGAGTTCCCCCAGGATTCTGCCTAGCTGAGCCTCCAGCTAGGCTCCTGGACCTCTCTTGCAGAAGCCTTAATATTACAGGACACACCTTCAGAATTGGAAAGAACATTTAATGGACTTCTTTATTTTTACAACTGTTATCAAAAAAGGGAGGCAGCTTGGTTGGGTGTCCTGAGAGTTTGCTTTACTTCAGAGAGGGCATTATTATTGCAAAATGTTCACTTATTTCATAACATCCTGTTGTTCCATGAGCTCCACCTTTACTTAATTTGAGGTTCTGCATGTGCTGCATCTAGCAGGGGGCAATGGAGCTGCCTTCTTCTCAACCATCACACACATCACTCAGTATTTAAACAGGATCAGGTTAATTTGGTTTAAAGGCCATCTGGCTACTCATGCAGATCACAAAGAAATCTTGTTCACATAATTTGGAAACTATACCCTAGCCTAAGTCCCTATAGACACCTGAACTTAGTCTGTCATGCAAAGCCATATCTGTTCACCTACTGAGAATCACATGATGTTTTCAGCCAATAGTAGAGCCGCAGTTGTAACAACGAAGTTGATCTTAGACCAGTGACAGTATAGGAAAGAGGTTTCTCTCCATTGCTACCTGTATTTAGAACAGTGTTAACCTCAGGACTTCCTGGTACCCCTGGATTGTTTAAATGTATTTTTATTTCCTTTTATTTCCATATTATGTTTGTTAAACTTTTTCTCACAAGGGGGCGATCGAAGAAAATGCAGTCAAAGTAGGATTGGTGTGATGCCATTGCTGGGTGGGTCTTTCCTGGGCCATGTCAGAAGTTTGGGCCGTGGATATTTTCACATAAACTCAGAGGAGTGGTTCTCAATCTGACTGTGAGGGGACTTAATACAACAGGAATCTTGGATGTGTTTACTGATACCTATTTGAACAGGAAGTGTCCCATTCACACTGGGGCCTCGAGGGAGCAAGGGGAAGGGAAGCTAGGGCTCTATTGAAGGAAACTCCACTTTCAACACCTTTGAAAATTGTCTGTGGGATTCTTTGTGTTTCTTCGCTCTCTGAGGTCCCCTGGAAATCACAGAAGTCCAAGCATCTCCACCAATTTTCTCCCTCAAAGAATGGCCATTCCCTATTTCATGAAGCTCCCAAAACATGGAGACTTGTTGTATTAGCTTCTCTTTGTACTGCAGATAAAGCCATAAAACCACAATTGTATTCAGTTCTGAGAGGCTGAGAAGAGAATGGCTGCTCCAGTTAGAAGGAACAGATCTGTAGCACCTTGTGTTGCCAGCCTGGCAGATTGTATGGCTTTCCCCTCCTTACTTACTATGACTCTACAGTTATAACTGCAATCCTTGGTGAGGGTCAGTGAGCGCATCTACATGAGACGCAGACTGCACAGTAGCTGA